TTGCAATGAGGTTTAGGTTTGTTTATTCGCTCATTATTCGAATTCTTTATATATGTTCTTTTTAGAAATTTCCAGTTAATGATGATTTATTTAAATAACGATTTAAATAAAATGAAGTATTTTGATGCACATCAACGATTAGTACTAGCTTTCAATGTCTATGAAAAAGACAAACGACAGTTGGTGACAAATGATATTTTTACTTTTTCTTAAAAAGAAAATGAATATTTTTAGGGATATCATGCTGTATTTGTGCAGCTCGAGTTTTTAATGTTGATAGACAAGAATTAGTGAAAGAACTGAATGTTGTTAATAAATCGAATGATATTGAGTCAAATGTCATACGAAGGTTATACTTTGTTTAATTGCATTAATATGGGAAACCTTTATCACCAACAAAGTTATTTGGTGTAAAAATGATCATATAGCTTTTATTTTATTTAAATGAAGACTTTAGGCATAATACTCGTAAGTTTTGGTTATTCCAGTAAAGAATAGAATTCATTCTTATGAAATTGGTAAAGAAGCAATAAAAAGAACAGTTAAAAATGACCTATTTGATGAAGTTTGCTCCTTTTCTTGATCAATCCTTTTAAATTAATATTTTCCTTTTGTGGATGATTAATATGGTAGTAATTCAACACTTCGCACTTGGTTTTTGATACCTGTTTAAATTAAGAAAAAAGAATTTAATTGTTGATTACTTTAGTCTAAGACAACTTTATTTGTAGTTATCAATCAAAAGATATTGTTTGTATGATCGATTTATTTATTCAACAATCGGCGTAAGTTTATCTTTTTATTTAAATAACGGCTCGTGTAAGGGAAAAGATGAAGTTAAATATGTGTAAAACTCCCGACGAGATGATATTTCGACTCAGAATGGATCTTTCTAGCATTATCACTTTTTATTATACAACAATTCATAGGGAATCAGTCCCCAGAATTTATATGGACTTTTTTCGGTTTCTTTTTAACTTTAGTTATTCTTGTTATTTCATGATAATCTCAGTAACATTAATAATGTACTTCATTATTTATACAAGATCATATTTTCAGAGCTCAATTGAATCTTAAGTGAAATTGTCTTTCGAATATATTTTGAAACGAAATCTACTATTAGTATACAGAGAGTAACAGAAAAGATAGTAATTGATTTTTATGTTTTTGATAATTGGTCCTGAAGAAATGCCACGTTTCATATTTGATCCGAGCAAGAGCATAAAAGTTATGAAGAACATATCTTAACCCTTTGAGGACGATGGAACATATTTGTCCCACCTATTTTTCAGTACAGAAAATGTTTGCTCTATATTAAACTGTTACAATCTTTAAGGTAAATAGGTCGCCTATCTGCCATCTCATGTAGGTCTTTTCTCTCTTTCTTCCTGTCATACAGATCCTTCTCAGATGGTATGGGTGTGAGTGTGGGTGTGGGAGTGTGTGTGATAGTAAATGGATTGAGAAACACTCACGCCCACACCCACACCCTATCTATTAATCACTCCTATTAGAATAAAAACATAACTTAGAAATAATTATTCTCGTCAAACGTACTTAGTTCGCTTGCCTGATACTTTAAGGTTCCTTTAGGGTGTGGGATGTGGGGTAGGTAGGTGTGGCTGTTTCTGAAAAGAAGCTGTACATCCGCACTCTACGTTTGTTTGTTTGATGGCGAGAGTCGTGATTTGACTCGAATATGTTTAACATTATTGACTTGCAACATAAACATTTCCATTGCAAGTGTCAACCAAAATGCAAACTGATACTTGGAAGTATTTTTTTCGTAAACGAATAATGAAAGAAAATCGAAATAAACTTTATTAATGATA